GTAGAGCCCCATTCACTCTATTTCCTGCATTCACTCGTCGTTCTATATCCTTATCATATCTACCATCCCTGCTAAACACACATCCCAAATATACAAACTCATCTACTTGCTCTACCAACTCCCCTTCTATTCTTATTTCACATATCGTTTTACTTTCTTCTCTTTCAAAAACCATAACTTTCGTCTTACTTGCGTTCACTTTCATTCCCTTTTCTTTTAATGTCCTGTTCATTAATGTAACCATCATTTGCAACTCGGCTGCCGACGACGCAAGTATGACTTGATCATCGGCGTACAAAAGGCATTTGACGGTTAACTCACCCATTCTTAACCCGCATTCTTCTACTTTCAAATTTTCCAAACAACTGTCCATAAACAGGTTGAACAACCACGGGGAAGCTACACAGCCCTGTCTGACACCTTTATGGATGTCAAACCAGTCCGAGTAGGCCCCGTTGATCCTGACACAAGCACTAGAGTCCCTATATAGAGACTTCAATGCCTGTATCAGACCAGCGCTCAACCCAAATTTTTAAATAAATTTTACAATATAAATGATTACGAACTATTTACAAAATTTATTTTAGAAACTGCTTGGAAGCGATCACCTCATTCCCAGGGGTTATTATCAACCATGTATTCATTTATACTATAATAACCCTTTTTATACAGTTTCAGCTTAATAAAACATTTAAACTTGGTAATAGAGAGAACCTGTACACTTTCCGGGACCTTGTTGTAATAGCGTATACATTGCCCCAAAAATGAATTACTGACTCTGTGGAGTCGAGAAACTGGTATCACTAGCTTGTGTTTGTTCGTAGTGTTTACAGAATGTATATCACTTCTTTTACTAAAACTATCTTTGTTTTTGTGAACATACATTAAATTTTCGTAAATATACTGAGAGGCCAAAGTTAATATATTAATTTCTTTACATTTATCTCTAAAAGACTCTCTCGGTTTTAGATTGTAAATAGCTCTAATGGCCCTCTTCTGTAAAACAAAAATAGTTTCTAAATCAGCCGCATTTCCCCATAGCAAAATCCCATAAGACATTATGCTATGAAAATAACTAAAATAAACTAATCTAGCTGTCTCGACACTAGTGAGACCTCTAATCTTTTTTACAGCATAGGCTGCAGAACTTAGTCTGCTTGCTAATTTGGATATATGGGGGCCCCACTGGAGCTTTGCGTCAAGAGTGATGCCAAGAAAAACAGTGGATACAACAGGGCTCAATTCCTCCCCATTTAAAAACACATTGGTATTCAGATTTTGAACATTCGTTGTTGTAAATTTAACACAATTAGTTTTATTTCCGTTCAAATGCAGATTATTAACGTTAAACCAATGCACTAATAATGATATAGCATTATTCACTTCGTCACATTTAGATGATTGACGTTTAAGTTTAAAAATCAAGGAAATATCATCAGCAAATAATACTATATCATGACTATCCCCTACAAGGTGAGGTAAGTCATTAATATACACCAGAAACAGGAATGGGCCGAGAATCGAGCCCTGAGGTACATCCATTAGTACAGGTGACCCGGAAGAACTTTTACCATTGATAATAACCTTCTGTTTTCTATTACTTAAATATGAAATAATAAGTTTAAGCGCTGTGTTCTTGACACCATAGTACTGTAGCTTCCTTATTAATGTCTCATGGTGAACACAGTCGAAGGCCTTGGAGAGGTCACAAAATATACCCAAAGCATCCTCTGAATTCTCCCATGCACAAACAATATGTTTAATAAGCTCAACTCCAGCGTCAGTTGTCGAGCGACCCCTTGTAAAACCGAATTGATTATTATGTAGCAATTTATTAATATTAAAGAAACTTAACATCTGATCTAAAATATTTTTTTCAAAAATTTTACTTAATGTTGGTAGTACAGAAATTGGTCTAAAATTGGCGAGGTCTAATGTACTACCAGATTTAAATATAGGTATGACTTTACTATGTTTCATCAAATCAGGAAACACACCAGATTCGACGCTCATATTAAATATAGTGGCTAGATAAGGTGCTAATATATCGATTATAGATAAAACAACTTTAACGGAAATCCCCCATAAGTCTGCCGTTTTCTTAACATCAATAGTTTTAAAATATTTAACGATATCTTTTGGCAGTACCCTATGGAATTTAAAAGTATTTGAACAAGCCTTTACATTTTGTTTGAGCAATGATTCGGCGACAGTAGGAGAAGAATTTAATGATTTTGTTGTCAAAAAAGGAACATCAGTAAAATAATAAGGGCTGTGCAGTCTCTTTACTATGACTGTAAAGCCTGTGTGCGGGTAGGGCAGGGTTGTGTTATGTCTTCCTGGCTGTTCATACTGTATCTCGACAGCTGTTTACAAAAGCTGAAAGATAGCTGTTTGGGTGTGAAATTGGGTGACATAAAAGTAAATTGTCTGCTGTATGCTGATGATGCAGTGCTTATTGCACCATCAGAGACAGAATTGCAGGCATTAGTCACGTGTATGAAAGAGGAATGTGAAATTAAAGGTCTCCGTGCTAATGCTAATAAAACTAAGGTTCTGGTATTTGAAAGGGACGAAGAGAGAACGAAGTGTGAAATATGGGTAAATCAGGAATGTCTAGAACAGGTAAATGAAATTGTATACTTGGGGAGTACTTTTAGCCGGGATGGAAGATGTGATTTAGATGTGGACAGGCGAGTCTTGCCGGGAACAAAGTCAATGGTGCCCTGACTGCGTTAGTCAAAAGGCAAGGCGTAGTGAAGAGTGCACGCCTTGCAATACATAACGCAGTGTTGGTACCGACTTTGTTATATGGCAGCGAAACCTGGGTATGCCAGATGATGCAGAGATGCGATCTCTTTGTAAAATGTGCGGCGTTACCATGGCCGACCGAAAGTGAAACGAAGAGATTCGCAATATGGCAGGTTTTAAAGATGACTTTATCACAAAAATTGATAAGGGCGTTTTGGTGGTTTGGGCACGTTGAGCAAATGAGTGAAGACCGAATGGTGAAGAAAATATATAGCGCAAAAGTTAATATTAAAAGGTGTTGAGGTAGACCGAGACTAACTTTCGAAGACCATGTGAGCAAATTGCTCGAAAAGGGTAGGGTCAAGAGTACTCGGATACCTAGACGTGCATGTATGAAGAAGATAATGAATCTGAAAGAAGCAAAAGAGGTTTGTAAGGATCGTGACACTTGGCGATCTGTTCTCTCTGGCTACCCCGTCAGGGATTGTGCGTGAAGATAAGTAAGTAAGTAAGTTGTTTATTTTATGTCTTGATTGCGCCAAAAATTCTCCAAAAAAATCAAACAAAGATGTCCACAATTAAAAGGATGATCATGCTGTATGTTATAATAATTATAGTGGACTTTAGGACCTAAATATTTTATCAAGTCAATTGGAGGTTTAAGATTTCCATAACTGTCGAAATATTCAACATAATTATTAAATTCTACATAGGCTATCCAATGAGATCCCGAATTTGAGGAAATATCTAAATTTATAACTCCACATTCTTTTTGAAAAGGGTGTGTTGGGAGCTCATCTCTTATAAAGACACCTCGAAAATGGTGAATATTTTTTCCATACGTTAAAATGTCAATGTTAGTTAAGGCGCTTTTGGGTAGCCTATATTCTAGTTTTTTATTTCTTTAGATACAAAAATGCCAAATCCATTTTTATTAGGCTTAAACTGTAACCCATTTCCGATACAAAGAGCTTACATTTTTTCATTGTGTCTCTTCAATTCAGCAAATTGTTTTTTAGCCATTTTGATTTAATTTATAGTTTTAAGTATACCAGCTGCACCACCTGCTAATGCTCCCGTTGCCGATAATCCGGCAAAAATCGGAATCAAAGGTACCCCACCAGTTTTTGGTATAGGAATAATGCGAGGAAGTTTTATAACAGAATTATCAACTAGTTCTCTAGCAGCAGCTATAACTAGCTCAATTGCTGCTTTCTTGCATTTTGGTTTTAATTTTTGCATACGTCTTTTCGTTTTTGTAATGATATTCTTAAACTTATTTTTAAATTCATTCCCCAACTTTCTCGGAGACATTTTATTACTATTGCCATTATTTAGGCCAGCCCTAGTTTTAATTTTTGATTGCATAGCTTTGCTTACTATCTTTGCTGCTAACTTTTCTCCCAAATTTGCGTCGGGAGCAATCTCTCGTGTTTTTGCCATTTTTAACAAAACTAAATCCGCCTTATGTGGATCCTTTAAGTTTGAATATTTGTATTTTAGCCATTTTGATTTCATTAATAGTTTTAAGTATACCAGCCGCACCACCTGCTAAGGCTCCCATTGCCGATAATCCGGCAAAAATCGGAATCAAAGGTACCCCACCAGTTTTTGGTATAGGAATAATGCGAGGAAGTTTTATAACAGAATTATCAACTAGTTCTCTAGCAGCAGCTATAACTAGCTCAATTGCTGCTTTCTTGCATTTTGGTTTTAATTTTTGCATACGTCTTTTCGTTTTTGTAATGATATTCTTAAACTTATTTTTAAATTCATTCCCCAACTTTCTCGGAGACATTTTATTACTATTGCCATTATTTAGGCCAGCCCTAGTTTTAATTTTTGATTGCATAGCTTTGCTTACTATCTTTGCTGCTAACTTTTCTCCCAAATTTGCGTCGGGAGCAATCTCTTGTGTTTTTGCCATTTTTAACAAAACTAAATCCGCCTTATGTGGATCCTTTAAGTTTGAATATTTGTAATACACAATGTCGTGTTCTTTACAATATTCGTCTAATTTGTTTATACCTTTGACTCCATGTGGTAGTTTTTTGATTAAATTTGTACCAGGACCACAATAATTGTATTTCGGTAAATGTAATTTAAATGGCAAATTATTAATCAACCAATTGAGAGGACTACTCTCACCAATGCACATCATAAGACTGTTTAATCGCGCTTGGGATATTTATTTAATATACCATTTTTTTATTTGTTCTTAATGTTAAACACAGTGGTCAGTAAGTCTATTACAATATATTTGACTTATCGATCCAACTGTTTTCACTAGAAGACAAACCTAGCCATTTTACTAAAACTTTATTTCCTTTCCTTCTTAAAACTTTTTGGACTAAATATATGTTTGGATTTTTGGTCTTTCGTAGCTCTTGCGCATAAAATCCTACTAAAATTGGTTGACCTTTAATTGTATCTTCAATTAAGTAAGTGATTGGAATCGTGTTCTGTAATTTTCGAATTTTAAATATTTCTGAATGACCTTTGTATTTACTTATACGCACATAATCACTTACTTTAAACTTACGTTTTACTTTATCATTCTTTACTAATCTAAGGTATCTCTGTAGTATTCGTTTTTTACTTTTATTATTAACATTGGCTGGAATTTCACCAATAGTTCGATGATAAGTGTGATTGTATTCGTAAATAACATTATTAAGAGTATCGCCTATCCAGTTATAACCCTGTAAACTAAATGCTTTATACAATTTAGATTTCAAAGTTCGAATAAATCGTTCAACTATGGAAGCCTTCTTTGTTGAAAAGGTTGAGTAATGATTAATATTATAAGAATTCATAATTTTTTTAAACTTATCGTTATAAAATTCTGTTCCATTGTCGGTTTGCAGATTTTTGGGCACACGTGTTTTAGGAGCTTCATAAAATTATAGCATACGTCCTCTTTACTTTTAGTCTTAATTGGAAAATCCCAAGCGTATTTCGAAAATGTATCAATAACGGTAATAATAAATCTGAAGTTTTTGTTTTCCTTAGAAACTGATTGCATATCAATTAAGTCTGCTTGCCATAAATCATCTATATCTTTCGTAATAACATTTCTACGTGGGAAATTCACCCTAGCATTTCTATGAATTCCATTTACTACATCGGCACATCTTTATTCTTATGTTGGTAGTTATTAAAAATAATTCGTTTATGCTGCTTGTGACTTAAATAAATACAGACAATTTTTTAGTAATTTGCAACATGAGCAACTTCACCAATACTGAGTAAAAGCAAGTAATAATTAGTATTTTATTCCTTTATAATGTTAGCTTCTTTTAATTCTTCAATGATCTTTTAATTTCATAATCATGATTTGTATTAATTGTAGCTATTAAATTTTTAATCTATCAACTGATTCATTTGGATCGTCCCAATATACAATATCAGTGTTGATTTTATATTTCTTAAGCTTAGGTAAATTACCTCCAAGCTTTTCTTTGATTTTTTATATTTGATTAAGGTATCGGAAAATAATGGTTTGATTATTTTTCGATATTTATTTCCCTTATCACCTCTTATTTGACATCTAGGGTTAAAATCTTTTTTATAAGCGTTAGTATGGTGTAGAATATCTTTGGACACGAGTTTATCAGCACTTGATACTAAATTCAAATCAGGTTTTTTTCTAAGTAGAAGTTCTCTTAACTTGATAGTTAAATTGTATGATTTGTCTCCAATTATTACTAAAAATACAGTTTCGTTATCCAAACTGTCAATTTTAGAAAATGTAACTTCTGAATTTCCCATCATGTAAGTTTTCTTCTCTTTTCTTATCCCAAATGGTATATTTAATTTATCATCGTAAATATCATAGATACAATTCCGATCTAATGAAGCCTCTTAATTGTCTTTAATTTAATTTTTTGGGGATTCTGCAGAACTCAAGTCAGCATCGTAATAGTTCTGAAATTCCGATTCAAATGATCTAGCAGAACTTTTGCATGATTGCATCGATAAATTATGGTCCTGATTTGGTTTTTGCTTATTTACTATGATTTTAAGGGGCTCTGTAACAGGTTTTAGCATTTTATCTAGGGAAAAGTTCAGTTCATGCTCATTATTTTTTTTTTATTTATTCTTTATGGAGTCCACAGATTTCATTAATTCCATTTTAATTTGCTTTTCATAATGCTTTACAATACTTCATTTTATCGCGGCTACAATAAAACTAAATAGTTTTATCTAAAAACCCGTTTATAATAGTTTACTCTAGGTTAAAAAAATATCAAAATTCTTTCTTTACCTGCCATTGTTTAACGATGAGTCTTTGTTAATACAAACAAAATTATACGGCTTACTCCAAACTATATTACAAATATTTTTAAACTGATTCCATGACATATCAGAACTAACATGTTCTTCATAAATATGTTTTAAATTTACATCATCTTGTTTAAATATTATAATAAAATTGGCATTGTCTCGTAGCAATTGTTTCGGAATTTTTGAGTAGGTCTGAGATAAATAAAAGCAATCGATTTGCTTATGCCTGCCCATAGAAAAATAATTACGAATGTTGATTTGATTTTCACAAGCAACATCATCCACAATAAATACAGAATTGTCTAAAGCTTCACTTCGACCTATAACGTCTTTGTTATCATTGAACTCATAAAATGAAATATTAGGCACTCTCTTAATTACTTCTCGTATAAAACGATATTTTGGTTGATCGTTAGTTTTTGAATACAAGTAAAGATTTTGAAATTTAAGCCCATTTTCATGCAACAATAAACTTATTACAACGTTTGTTTTACCGCAATTAGAGGGACCGCATATTATACAGCGAATGGTATTTGGTAAGGGAATGCTATGTCTGATCTTGTAAGCAGAGTGATCAATATTAATATTGCTAACGCTTAGCGATATGGGTTGTTTGATCAACTTCATCGTGCTTATTGAATGAGTTACTAACCTACAAACATAGGTATATATTTAAATTTTGCATGAACAATATTAGAGAGAAATGCATGTCACATCATGTCTGTTCTAGTGTTACAAATTTCTTAGTAGATCTATGCTTACTTTGCAAAATAATGCTATTCGGATATTACAAATCCTGAGTATATTATGCTTATTCTGTAAATTATACAATTCTCATCTTACAACACGCGATCACGTCATTTCGCTACAGTACTTTCTATAAATAGCCCGTTTGTTTCTTTAGCTGAAATTTGGAGTAAGTACTTTAAATGAAATATTTAAATAATAAAGTAAGTTTTTCTATTTTCTATTGTAATTCTAACTCTTATAAATGTAATAAAATATGTAACTTATATTCATTTTTGTTTTTTAGAAATATGTCACATACACCATCTTACAGTCCTGTTTTGAATAACTTAGAAAATATACGTGAGGTAAGTTACTATTTAGTTTTATTATTTTTAATAAATGATTTTAAATTCATGGGTAGTAATTAATTAATGTTTAATTGTATATTTATGTCTGGCTTTCAGAATTTGATAGAAGACTCAAACCCAATTACTAATCCATTTTACTATGCTCAAGATAGGCAAGGCTGGTATGATGAAGTGGCGACAAAGACGTGCAAGCAGAGCCGTAGCCAAAAATCGGAGGAAAAAATAAAAAAGAAAAAAATCTAATCAAATTCTTTGAAAAATACATAATTTATCATGCGAAAGGAAACGGGTGATTTACGTTATTTAATAAAAATTATAATACATGATTTACATGGTCGTAATATCGATGAAATAAATACTGAATCTGGAAATGCAGCTGTAAACGTGCAATATCTAGGGACAAGTGCATATGATAACATCATGGATGAGACAGAACATTGAGTTTGTAAAGTGGTAAAAAAACTAAGCAAATCTAGTATTTAAGTTTGAAATCAATTAATAAAATTTATGTTAATAAAATGTTCATAAATAAATGATTAATTTTTTCGACATGTATAACTCTGTTGTAAAAGTTAAGTGTATTTAAATCTATTGTTTTTATGTAATATTTAGTATTTAAGGATCTAATGGGATGATAAATAAAACAAAATATGATCATGATAATACAGTATTTTTATTTCAACTTACATATAAAGGTTTTTATATTTTAGCTAGAGTTATAATTACGATATACTAGTTACAATATAGAACATATTTGCAGTAAAGAATATTCAAAATAAAGTAATTTGTTTTCATTTGCATATTATGTTTATGTTTATAATTATTTTATAAATTACTATTACTTTATTTCATCATTTAATTCTTCATTATTTCATATTTCATTATTGGTTAAAATATAATGCTAATTAAAATAAATTGCTATGATGTACCCAAGGCAAAGTTTTATACATATCTTCACATATTTGTCGCTTATCATCATTGCCACTAAGAATGAGCTTATTTATTTTTTGCGTATAAAGTATATGATTCTTAGATCGTATTACGTACATCGTGTCTCTATGGGTTTTCTTAGAATTTAAAATATCTCTATACTTTTCAATGATTAATTTTTTTGTAATATGCTTTTTCACACCTTTTGCTTTTTTAATTGCGGACTTCAAAGTATTAACGCAGTATAATTTTGCTTTCAAGACTATAAACTCTGTTATAATAGCACCACCTAATTCATCTTTAAAATACCCTGGTATTTGTTTATTCGCTTTTGGAATATGGTATATATTATTATCAGAAAAATTACTTGTATCAAAGTACTTAATATTATCTTTCATATCTTTGTAGAAGTCTTCAGTGTAAATTAAATACAAAAGACTACCTGTATCAGTGTAACAAAGTTTGATATTATTATCTTTGTATATTTTCTTCATTACAGAATAATGAAAATTATATAAATGACTTTTTGCAAGTTCCAAAATAGTAAAGCCCACATATATTGGGCGATCCAAGATCACTTTTGTTGGTCGGAGTTGAATGGCTACGAGGCTATCAGAAATAATTGTAAAATTTTTGAAATTAGGCGCACTAACATAGTTTTTGGCACCACAGACTAATTGTGTTATTTAAATTATTTTTCCATACATTTACTAGCTTAAAATCGACTTGTTTTCTTTTGTTCTTTATAGTTTTTCCAAAAATTGAATTGCTTTGTTTTTTAAAAAAGTCTCTTTCAAAATCAGATGTAGCATTTTGTCTTAAAGATGTATTTAGGGAAATATATGGCTCTAAAAATGCTTTTTGATTGAAAGCTTTCTTAGTTCTTAGTTTTTCGTTGCTGTAAGGAAAAATAAATGCAATTTTTGAAAATAATTACTTCATTGGGGTATTTTAAAATTAAACTTTCAATATCTGGCTTTTTGATTTTAGATTTAAATTTTAGTTCTTAGTTTTTCGTTGCTGCAAGGAAAAATAAATGTAATTTTTGAAAATAATTCCTTCATTCAGGTTATTGATGTTTAGTGTAATACTGCTCAAAACTTGTATATAAATATGTATTTCAATCTTTATTTATATTTGTGTTATAGATTTAAATTCTAATAATTACTTTGTCTAGATTCTTGGTATTTCGAAATGTAAGTTTCAATTCGGCTTTTTGTTCTTTTAGATTCAGATTTTAGTTTTTTATTCATCGCTGCTGTAAGGAGAGAGACAGTTTTAAAAATAATATGGTATAAATTAATATTGGATGACCTAATAAACAACATGCCAGCAGAATATGCAATATTACTCAGAAATTGCCTTACATCTGGCTATCTATTGTGGAAGGAACAGTTTTACAAGCAAGTAGATGGTGTTGCGATAGGCTCACCAGTATCTCACATTGTCGCCGATATTTTCATGGAGGACTTTGAGGAGAAAGCCCTGCTTACTGAACCAGTAACTCCAAGTTTCTACAAGCGGTACGTAGACGATACTTTCACAATTTTACC